CCCCCAAAACCCCAAAACCCCTTAGAGAAAAAATAAACAAATATTCAAGAATTTAAATTTATAATTTACTTAACACTTGATAAATATATTTATAGAGGAGAGCTGCTCACCTTTATCAATTAAAATTGCTATTATAAGATGAGATATGACTGCTATTCAAATTATTAGAGATAGGATTGAGTTTAATCCCACTAGTAGGTAGCCTTTTACTCACAAATTTATTCTAATTACTGAGATTATATCCATTAATTAAGCGATTGTTGTTATTATTTTATATCATATTCATTGCATTCTACTGCTTGTCATTGAACTAAATAAAAGGATTTAAATATAATTATTCTTACCATAATTGGACTGATTGATCTATGATTAGAATTTACAGTAGAAGTATTTGTAGGATTAGTGCTATTGTAATTATTTATTCCTATGCTATTTTGCTAGTTAGTTTGATTGTTTCTTGTGATAGAGCTTGAAATGTTTTCTTATTGGTTTTTAATGATCTGATAGATCTTTTACTGTTGCTATAACTGATTTGCTTAGTCACTTCGATTACTATTCTATGATTACTTATCAACGATTTGCTGGGAATTTTACTAATTAGGATTGATAATCACTGATGTGTTCATTGGGAACTATAGGTCATGATTGTCTATGTAGGCAGAATCATCCTAATAATTAGGCTAAGCATTATTGAAAAATCCACCAGACACAGTCTTCAAACCAAATTTTTATTGGTTCGAGGGATTTGGAAAATTTTAAGCAGTCTATGTAGTTTACTATGTTTCATGCTGCTTTTAGAATTAATTCTACCTCTATCTTCCATAAAAACTACTATTTTTAATGTTTTAGTCTGGCATACTTTGGTTTTCTATCATTCGTGGGCTTCTCTTATTACTCAGCACTCCTGGAACATTACCTGAGGCTTGTGAAGTACTATGCTAGGAATTAAAGTCATACTCATTTAGATTTTATCCATGCTTATAGAAATTTGTCTTAGTATTGTTGTTCTCAATCATACTATTATTTTACTGCTCATAAAAAGTCTTTCTATTTGGATCCTATTGATTGTTATTAGCAAAAACAACTGACGCTGAACCTTGGACACTACTATTTAATGCATTGTTCTTTCTTTATAAAGTTGCTTTATTATTCGATTATTTTAGACCGTTATAAGGTAAATTTGGACCAAGCTATGGCTATATATTATTTTATGATCCCTTTCTAGCTTCACTTTTTGGGGGTGTTGGCGTCACGCTTATATAAGACTACGTATTAAATGCAGTCATCGAATCTTCATTATTTTAGTTTCTAATTGCTTTTTACTTTTCATTTTATAATTAGTTTTCATCTTCTTCCTCGATACTTTCCATTGTATGTTTTGCTCCTCTTTTTAGCGCCCCTTAAATAACAACTGGCCTTTTGAATTCATTCCTATCATATTTTGAAACCTTTTAGGGACTTGGTTTATAATCATCTTGCATTTAAGGAGTTTCAAGTTTGATTCCATGAGCTACTTATTCTTAGGTATTATTTTACTATATATGAGGAATAACAGGTGAATTTTCTCTTTTAAAACTATCATAGAGGCTTTAAGAGAGTACTTAATTTCCTCTTGTGCTTGGTCTTTTAATGATTTGAGGACCGAATTGACCATTATTAAAATTTTATTCTAGAAGCTATTACTACAATTACAGATCTTAACTACCATCAGCTCTAAAATTTTCCTAAATAACAACATGACCTATTAATCCCGAGGTTGTTGGTCTACCGCCACCACTTCTGGTTTAGGGTCTTCCATTACTTTGAATATTCGTTGTACTTCCCTCATTCCCAGGGGAATTACTCATTTCAATTCTTGGTCTTTAGCCATTTAGGTTTACTCTTCCAAATATTCCATTTTGATCTTTAAATGAATCTCTAGTACTAGGCCTATTTTTCTAGATATTATTATTGCCCTGAACTAAGTCATTATTTCTAACCCAGTTAAAGTTTTGTAAATTTTGAAAGCCTAAATTACTGTCTACTTTTCCAACTTTTTTATTATTTTGAATAAATTAGTGCTAATTCACCAAAGGATCCTTATTCCATAATGACTCAGTCTTTCGTTGAAAGAATCCACTAGTGATAGTAGAGGATCCACTGACCAATATTCTTCCTCATTACTAACTCTGTTTTTATTTGGAGAAATTAGAGTGATTCATTGCTAATCCGAAACCTTCCTCTTCGATACTATTTTTATGTATTATCCTCCCGAACTAATATGTATCATTTTATAAATTTTCGTTTTCACTCTCTAGCTTCTTGTGATATGTTGGAGAATAGGATCAGTTACCCTGATCATTTTTTCTTTTCTCGTTTTTAAGTCCCATACTTCGATCATTAATATTAGGCCTCTTGAGATGATTTAAAGCTAATTGATTTGCCTCGTTAATTATTATCATCCCATCAGGTGTTACTCTTTACTGCCCATACTAGTTATTTTAGTTGAAGTAAGATTAGGTTTGCGAGATCTTTTCCTTGTTCTATATTTGGCTATTCAAATATTTGGACTTAGTTGATTTCTGATTTTATAAATCGTTATTTGGAGAGCTGACATCATTTGTTGCTAGCTTAGCACTATTTGATCCTTTTATCTTTTCAATAGTCTTAGTTACATATTATTTAATTAATGTCTTTTCTTTTTTAATAAGATTCCTAAGTAATTCTTAACTTTTAGACATGTGGCTCATTGCTGATTCACCAGTGTTAACATTATCATAGCTTTACTAACTCTATTCTGCTAATAAAGATTATTGTGATCCAATAGTATTTTAAACGCAAGATTCAACAGCCTTTAGATGTAATTGATATATTTTTCCAATAATTTTCTTTTACTCTTATTGCAAACTATATTGATTGAGATAATATGAATTCATGCTTACTAATTCAAAACTTAGCTTATTTGCAAGTCACCTTTTTATTCCTCGAAAAAACTAAACAGTATTGCGTATGAAACATGAATAGGATTATAGTTTAGAAGAATCGTTATGGAAGGATCATTAAACTAATAATCGAAAAAATCAGTCTCTTATGAATCAGTAGTTGCTGTGTTAGAGTTCATCACATTTTTAAATAGCCAGTAATCTATATTATATTATAATCAATTATATATTACATGGCAGGGGAGTTGCTTATGAAAGTTGCACCAATAATTGACAACTTTAAGGATATTTTTACAAAAACTCCCTCAATTATTCCTTTACTCTTTGTAATGATTTTAGCAATGTCTTTTTTTTAGAATGAAACTGAACAATAAGTGGATAATTATTGTTTTAAAATCGTTCAACTATTGTTATATCTATCTTTTGCTACTGCGTAAAATCTTGATTTTTGAGAGATGATTGTTGTCACAACTGATATGTAGTCTTCAATCCTCCCTTCAAAACTAAATCCTCTTTCTGAATCACACTATTGTTGATATTATCATGTGTACTAGATTGCTATAAATTTATCATTTCTTTCATTAACAATCTTAATAATAAGTTATTTATAATTTCAATTTACAAACTCTATCTAGAAACTTATGCAAATGCGGGGTTTTGGGGTTTTGGGGTCAGGAGCTAATCGCTTCTTCTTAAATCATGAT